GTATGTTTTAAGGGCCCTTGAGGTAGATTCCAGACCCTAAACCCGAAACCCTATAAACCCTAAACCCTAAAACCCTAAACCCTATAACCCTAAACCCTGTAAACCATAAACCTTTAGTCTAGACCCTGATGAGGCGACGTCATGCCGCCAGTGGCACAGGCGGCTGCGTCGCCATGTGAGCGTCAGGAGCCTGCGGCGAGCCATTGGGGGCATGCGATATGCTACTTATTTGCTTAAGAACCCCCCCCAAGAAAATATTATATATATATATATATAATATTATTTATTTATTTATTTATTCATTTATTTATTTATATGTATGTATGTCTGTATGTATGTATGTATGTATGTGTGTATATTACAAATATTAAAATACATATTATGTACATACATATGTATAGACATATATCATATTCTCCTTAAAAGAGCAAGCCAGGGGGTGTATTGTTTTGAGTGGTTCGTACTTCTTCAAATAGCCAGTGACATTCAAAGGTGGCCTGCAGACTCCAACGCAGACTTTACCCTAAACCCTAAACCCTAACCCTAAACCCTAAACCCTAAACCCTAAACCCTAAGCCCTAAGCCCTAAGCCCTAAACCCTAAACCCTAAACCCTAAACTTTCGTTTGCTCCCCTCGGGCCTGGCTTAGTGCGGACTCAGTCCGGGCCCCAGGGCTCGCTCCAGTCGCGCTGCCGAGAAAAATGCTCGTAGGAGGATCAGGTTTAGGGTTTAGGGTTTGGGGTTTAGGGTTTGGGGTTTAGGGTTTAGGGTCCAGAGGTGGATCGGGGGCAGGGTTTAGGGATCCTGGTTGGTATGATGCAGGATCCATAGATCCGAGGAAGATCTCAGCAGGCTGCTGCTCCCTCGCTCTCATAAGTGATTAGGCAAGAATGTAGTGATAGCTTCAGCCATTTCCCGCAACAGGGGGACCCTTGTCTTTAGGGCATTGCAGCTCCACCATAAGTTGCGGTACGGCTGCTTTCAGTTCAGCGTCCTGTGTGTCTGCACCCAAGACCCTCGTAGACTCAATAAGGGTGCCCACAGAACTGTTGTCACCCTCCGTAACATCTGCTTCGCTCATTCCTCACCGAATGGGGCATGCCGGCACTTCAAAACGCGTCCAAACCATTGACCCAAGATGGCCAAAGCCAACCCCTAAATCTCTCTCGAGCAAAATTAAGGCTTTCCCTAAACCCTAAACCCTAAACCCTTTTCACCCTAAGCCCTTGAATCCCTAACCGCCTGGAGCACGACACCCCTGAAGCACTGACGCCCCGATCATCCCTCAACCTTAAACCCGTTGAAAAACCCTTTAGCCCACTTGAAGCCCCTGTCGTATGGGTATTTTCCAGGGGTACCCAGTTTATACCCCAAATCGAATAGAATCCCTTAAAGGGGCCCCCAAAAAGCGTACCCCCATTTTCGGAAGCCCGCATTTCCAACCGAACATCCCCCCCCCTCGAAGGTGGTGAGCTCTTTCACCACTTAGACCGCCGCGGTCCGTTTTCCGAGACGGACACCAGGCCCGAAGTGCGGTGAAAGGAATTGGGTTTAGGGCTTGGGGCTTAGGGTTTGTAGGTCTTAGGGCTTAGGGTGTGTGGGGCTAGGGGCTTAGGGTTGAGGGCTGAGGGCTGAGGGCTGAGGGCTGAGTAGCGTTTGTGGTTGACTTGAGGCTAGGATGTAGAGTTAGTTGCTGATAGCGTGCCTGTCACAGTCCCTGTCACATACCCTACACTACCTGTAATTCCTATTACCAGGGAATGTAGTCCTTGGGTGCACCCATTCAGGTTTACGTGCCAGGAAACTTGCACTACCCCCCCCCCCACCCCGAGCGTTGTAGGGTTTTGCAGGGATTATGGGGTTTCTAGGGTTTATAGGGTTTATAGGGTATATTGGGTTTATAGGGTTTATTAAGCTTTATTCTATGGGTTTAGAGGGGTTAGTGTTCTTAAGCGCAAGATTGGGATTTGGGGGCAAGACAAGAGAGGGAGGGCCCCACTGCGAACAAGGTTTCTTGGGGTTTAGGGTTTAGGGTTTAGGGTTTAGGGTTTAGGGTTTAGGGTTTAGGGTTTAGGGTTTAGGGTTTAGGGTTTAGGGTTCATGACCAAATCTCCACCCAAACGGAGCCAAACCTTGAGCCCCAAAGAAGTTAGACCCCGAATCATATTCATTTTTTCCGTAGAGGCCTGCACGCGAAGCCTTGCATGAGCCACGCACGCAACCATGTGCTCGATCATTTGCAGCCTTCTTTAGGGTTCAGGGTTTAGGGTTCAGGGTTTAGGGTTCAAGGTTTAGGGTTCAAGGTTTAGGGTTCGGAGTTCGCAGTTCAGGGTTCAGGGAGTTCAGGGTTTAGAGTTCAGGAGCTCAGGGCTTAGAGTTCATGCTTCAGGGTTTAGGGTTTAGGGTTTGCCCTTCATGCCAGGTTTTACATCAGCGAGATCCTGTTGGGCCTGGAATACCTGCACTCCCAGGCAGCTTCTGACCCCAAACCCTAAACCCTTAAACCCTACACCCTACGCCCTAAACCCGAAACCCTAAACCCCAAACCCTAAACCCTAAACCCTAAACCCGAAACCCTAAACCCTAAACCCTAAACCCTAAACCCTAAACTCTAAACCCTAAACCCTAAACCCTAAACCCTAAACGCTACGTAGAGTCGACCCTAAGCCCTATTTTGAGGGCGGTTTCCCATTCAGGGCTTCGGGGGTGGCATATTGGCCCGGTGCCTATAGATCCAGTGGCACCCTTGTGTCCTAAAAGTTCAGCCCATGGCTGCCATATGATGAGGATGAGGGTTTAGGGTTGAGGGTTCAGGGTTTAGGGTTTAGTGGTTTAGGGGTCAGGGTTTAGGATCTAGGGTTTAGGCTTAAGGGTTTAGGGTTTAGGGTTAGAAAACAAAGGTTAACGTTTCATTGGTCCAGGGTACTCAGCCCCTAAGAGGAAGTTGCCTCTATAAGACATTGTAGGGAATCAGGAAACTGTGAGTCCTATTGGGGATGAAGCGCGGCACAGACTTCCTCAATGCATGAACAGGAGCCCCAAATCGATCACAGGCCCCTTGTGAGTTCCCTCTATGTGTCAGGCTCTGGTCCCGACTGAACCTACACCTTGATGACCTTAAAAGCGAAACTTCAGTCAAAGTTCGGGCCCTGTTTCGGAGGTTACACCCTGCTGCTTGGGATGTTCCCCCTTATACGAACAGTCCTTAAAGATTATAGTACCCCCTCTTATGATCCCCATTGAGGACCGTTAGTAAAAGGGGGAACATCCCAACCCTACTGCCTGCAACGCTTCCCACTCCTGAACCCGCTTAAAACGCTTTGACAGCACGGAACTTCTGGACCCTCTTAGATTGCACTCCTGAAATTTCCCCTAAACCCGAATCCCTAGAAACCCTAAAACCCTCTAGAACCCTGAATTTCTGAAACCTCCTTGAAATAGACCTGGCGAGCTCGAAAGTTGCGCCTGTTTCTGGCTCACAAAGCTGTTGAAGCCCGGTGCCTGGGCGGACGCCTTGGTCTGATTTCTGTTTCGGGTTGCCGGGTTTTTGGGTTTTTGGGTTTTCGGGTTTTAGGGTTTAGGGTTTAGGGTTGAGGGTATTTAGGGTTTAGGGTTTGGGGTTTAGGGCTAGTATGGCCGACCCGACCTGGGCCAGCCTCGTGGCACAAGAGGTGGCCGCGTCGAAGGCGCTTGCTGCTGAGCTTTGGCCCGTGCTGATCCAATGCTTCAAGCCGCCCGTCGACAGTCTTCCTCGTTTGGGGTTTAGGGTTTAGGGTTTCGGGTTTTGGGTTTAGGGTTTAGGGTTTAGGGTAACCTGCTAACCCTAAGGGTCCATGTGCCTTTGTAGTACATACTTGGGCCTTACAAGGAGTTCCTATATAGTAGCTGGAGCCTTATAGGGTTAGTTTCCTGTACATACCTAGGCCAAGTTGTGCTTGTTTCTCTTTTTCTTCCGTGTGTTGTTTTCTTCTAAACTCAGGGGGGGGGGGGGGGCTTGTGGGTGTCCTATTCATTCCTAGTTGACGGGGGAACATGACTCATGCGGTGGATGTTTTGAGCTAGGATCCGCCAGGCCGCCAGACGGGCCACAATTTAATGTAGGGAACCTCCCATGTAGTAGTCTTGAGTCATGCGGCTTACACCCAGCCTTAAAACCTCCGCAAGAAAGAACTGTCGACACTCAACCCTAACCTGAACCCCACAAAGCCAACGACAACCCAACTCCAGGTCCAAGTCAATTGCATCTACTGTGCTGCGCTGCATGGTTTCACCCTACGCGCAGCGATTTCTGGGAACTTCGGAGGACGAAACATCGGAAGTGAAGAGTCTGGGTCGATGTTCAGTTTTGGTGGGTCAGTTTAGATGTTGGGGTTTAGTGGCTTTGGGCTTTTTCCATACTCACTTTCCAGGGCTACCTGGCAGACTCTAAAACTAGGAATGCGCGCTTCTCGCCACCGTGAAAGGTATGTCGATGGTGTTTGTAGGCCTTCGAGGGTCGATGGCAAAAGTAGTGAAAACATTGGCAGGCGTGCTGATTCAAAAGCGTTGCGTGGGAAAGGAGAAAATGGCATTTGTCGAAAACCGTGGGGAGGCGTGGCGCGAATTCGTCGGCCTAGGTGGGCTGTAGCATTTCGAAAAATGCGGAGTTTTGCGTATTCTGCGTCGTCAAGGCGAGAGCGCGGTGTGAAAATGTGCAACACCAAAAGTTGGACAAATGCGACAAGAATGACCGGATATGATATCTTTGGGCATCCAACAAAATGGCGTTTTAGGGCCGCGGTACTGGAACCCTCTATTTGGTTCAGATTAACGGCCTCGGCTTGTAAAACAGATGTTCCCGAAGTCGTAGGTGTCTAATTACTCGATCTACGTCATTGCGGGGCATCTTCGCTGTGGCTATCCCTCTCGGGCTGGCTCAAGTGGATGCCGAATGGGAGGCCTTGCAAGCTCAAACCATGTTGATTTGTAGGACACTGTAGAGTACCTGGCCCCAGAAAAGGATGGAGGGCACGTCACAATGTGCGTTTGAGAGCTCCGTCAGCGATGACGAATTTGAAGACCTTTTGCAAGATCAAATTCCTGTGAGTTGGAATGTCCGAGGTTAAGGTGGTGCCACTGCTAAAAAGCGGAAAGAGAAAGAGAAGCAAGTGCAGTTGCTGAACAGCATGTTCATCGCGTTGCACACAAGACGATTGCTGCTCAATCTCGCGAGGTTGCTCCGATAGCCTTAGCTGAATGCGGAGGCCGTTTCTGAAGTGAAGCCGTCTCCTCAGCCTCAGCCTCTGTCTGCTTCCCAGCAGACCAATCTTGCGAAAAAAGGAAAGTTGAAGCCACTGTATTTTTAAGCCCAAAATGCTACGCTGTTACCTCAGCCTTCTTGTCAAGGGTCCATTTCCTTTCGCTCTAAATTCGAAACCCTAAATCCTGAACCCAAAACCCCCCTTTGTTTCTTGTAGTGGGTTTGGGGTTAGCTCTGCGATCCCTCTCCTGCAGGCTACGCAAGGATTTCATCTGTATCTTCGAAAGGTGATTCTTCGAGAGAAGCGTTTGATCAACCTGAGTGTGTCGCCGTCGGAGCCTTTGCCGTGGGGCTTGCGCAGCCACGGCAGCGGTTTACTATGGACACAACTGGATTGAACTTGTGCCACATGGTGGGGACGAATTCCACCACAGAGGAGGAGAGAGCATCGGGCAACGTCGCGACCCTGGACGACCTCACCAATGCCAAACACTTTGCGAGCACGCATGTCCGCCTTTGGGGCGACTCTGAGGCGCCCACGCTTCGGCCATCACTTGCGTTTGCAGGCCAGCGTAGGAAGGGGACCCTGTCGAAGAAGTTTTGGAAGCAGAGCGTGGCTTTTTATCCGGCTGCGCGTGTTACTTTCCAAAAAAGCGTGGGTTGATGTGGAGTACCTTCTGGATTACACATCCAGCCTGAACTTGGTTATTACAAGCAATTCGTGGTCGACCTCATGGAAAGCATTCTCTTCATGGGAGATTGAAGCAAGATCCAGAGTCATTGCAGCTTTGCGTGGTTGGAATATCCACGCCGTGTACGGGCCGAAGGACATGACGCGCAGATGGCAGCCCGTCGACGCCGGACACGCGCAGCGCTACAAACAGTTGCTTGCGACAGCTGTGGATGATCTGCTTGACGAAGCGTTGTACCAGCAGTTCGAGGATGGAATCGCTACAGCACGTGACAAGCGATGTATGAGGAGGAGGCGTGTTGCACAAGCCTTCGAGGAGATAGCGTCCGAGCGCTTCAACTCCGCCCGGCAGCGCTCTTGGGAGAAGACAGGTTTTTTGCTTGCGCGCGCGGCAGTTCAGCTCAGCAGCCACCAAAGGCGGAGCTCGGCGGCGGGGAGCTGCTGCAAGGTGGGCTTCAAAGGTTTAGAGGTTTGGGCGTCGGGTTTCGGATCTGAGACAGCTTGAAAGTTTTGAGGGGTGTTGCGCAATTTAAAAACGAACTGGCAAGATGGATGTAATCATCCTGGGCATGGTTGCTCTGGGCATTGATCTCGTGGAAAGCAAAACACGCACAAATGCCACAAATACCAGGCGTTTCGCCTCTTGTCGCGCCAAAACCACCTGTAGACAGGCACTTTTCGGGCGCGGTCGTCAGGGCCAACACGCAGCAGTGACGAGGTGGATACAACACCGTCAATACCGTATGATTCGCTTGTTCTGCGCGTGATCATTCATGACCCCCTAAACCCTGAACCCCAAGCCCAAACCCCCGCCAGTTAGCTTACCTTCCACGGTGGCGACAAGCGCGCGCACCTAAAACTAGGACCCTTCCTTGTGGCCATAGTCTCTCATCTTCAGGTTTCGGTTCCCAATCTTCACATACTATATACACGCTTATTGTTTGTATCTGTTTGTATCTGTTTACATGTACTTATGTGTATTTTGTATTTCTGTATTTCGATGTAGTTACTCCATCCTGCTAGAAAACCCAAGAACCCCCGCCAGTAAACCGCGGAGCAGAAGCAGTAATTAAGCCAGAGGCGCTAACTCTCACAAGCCCCATAAATCCTTTAAGTCTTCGGGTTTAGGGTCATAGCCTCAAGTCCTGAAGCCCAGACAAGGAAGACGTTTGAAGATTTCAGCGTTGTTGTTCGCCTGCGGCGTGTGAATCCGTGGTTCGTCGAGTGGTGGCTGCTGGGATTAGCTAGTCCGGCTGAGCTTGATAGAAGGTCTCCCGGGGGGAGATGCCCTGTAGCCATTATAAGAGGGTTTCCAGACGCCTTCGGCTGGGATGTGAAGTTAGCTTCGGTTCGAAGTCCGGACACCTCAAGTCTCAAATGTGGCATTGCTCAGGGAGCCTCTTCCCTGTAGAGAAGTGAAGGCATGAAGTTCCCATCTTAGAAGCTTGGGCGAACTTTCCTACCAGGATTTAGGGTTCGGGATATGTCTGTTCTCGTCGTTCTCAGCCACTCCTTATTATACACTTCTAGAACCCTATGCAACTCTATGTAACTCCATAAACCCTCTAAATCTTGCAGACCGCATAGATCTCTAAGCTACTTAAGCCCGTAGACCCCAAACTCTGAACCCTATTTTCGGAAACCCACCCTAAGCGCTACACCCTAAACCCTAAACCCTAAACCCTAAACCCTAAACCCTAAACCCTAAACCCTAAACCCCCCCAAGAAGAGGCTACAATGGCCAGAGGGTGCGGAGCCTCCCCCGAGCGAAGACATCTGCCAAAACTGCCCCGCCTTGCGACCAACCTGTCGGAGCACCTTTGGCCTGTGTAGGAGTTTGGGGTTTAGGGTTTAGGGTTAGGGTTTCGGGTTTCGGGTTTCGGGTTTCGGGTTTCGGGTTTAGGGTTAGGGTTTCGGGTTTCGGGTTTCGGGTTTCGGGTTTAGGGTTTAGGGTTTAGGGTTTAGGGTTTTGGGTTTTGGGTTTTGGGTTTTGGGTTTTGGGTTTTGGGTTTTGGGTTTAGGGTTTAGGGTTCAGGGTTTAGGGTTTAGGGTTTAGGGTTAGGGTTTAGGCAGGGTTTGGGTAGGGTTTAGGGTTTAGGGTTCAGCCCTAGACGCCCTAGCCCTAAACTCCAGGGTTCAGGGTTCAGGCTCCCAGGCGTAGATTTTATTGTGCGAGCGAACCTGTCGTAACGGAACACATTTCCATAGCTCCTGTTCTTTGCTATTAGACCAAACAAGTGTTGATTGCGTTTGTTCCCCACCCTTGGTGTGTGCTTGTTAGATTCCAAACTAAACTCTTCTCCTCGCCGGGTCTACTCCACGCCCATCACCCATATCTCACCTCAGAGTACACCTGGAGAGTCCCTGGAGTGCCCAACCCCAGAGTATTCCCAGAGTACCCTGGAGTGCCGCCGCCGCCAACCCAGAAGTGTTTTTCAAGAGAAACCCTGTAGCGCCCAACCCCGCCCAACTCTGCATTGTTTTCGGGAGTCCCCAGAGTGTCCCTGGAGTGCCCAACCCCAGAGTCAGCGCAAATTCCTTGCCAGCAGGGTGGGGATGTTCGAAGTAAAAGAATTCGTTGCCAGGCTTTTTGTTTGTTTTGGGACTGAGGTGGGAGTCTTCATGTGGTTTAGGGTTTTTTGTCTTGATTGGGGGTTTAGGTTAACGATGTGGGCTTGACGGCATCTGTGATTTGATTTTGGTCTTGGAGACAACACTTGACTTTTAGGATGTTGTCTTAGGGCTGGGATTCAGGGTCAGGGTTTGGATGTTAGTGACAGGGACCCTCCAAAACTCGCTAAAGTCAGCTCATTGCTTTCGTCACCATATTATCTGCATCGCGTTCAGGAGCCTCTTCAATTGTGGTTTAGCGTTTAGGGATTGGGGGATCATAAACCTCTGTACATAGGTTCTGAGACCCACAACCCAGCTTGACTCGCAACCGCCAGTGCACCCATCTTGCCGTGTAGGGTTGAAGGTTTAGGGTTTAGGGGTTTAGGGTTTAGGGTTTAGGGTTTAGGGTTCGGGGTATAGGTCGAAGGTTTCGGGTGTAGGGTTTAGGGTGTCAGGTTTAGGGTGGAGCATGTTGGCATTGTGGTGAATGGGCTGCGGTTTCAGGCCTGGCACAAGACTTCCGAAGGAATCCGAAGCAACTCCAAACTGTCCGCTCTAGGGGGTCGGATTAGGTACTAGTAGTTTAGGGTTTAGGGTTTAGGGTTTAGGGTTTGGGGTTAGGGTTTAGGGTATATACCCTTATGGTGCCTTTGTAAATATACTCTAATTCCTGCCAGGACTCTATTCTAATTCTGAAGGCCCCTATGTCACACACCTGAACCTCACCCTGATGAGACGTCTGAGTTGCGGAATCTCCGAACGAAGACAAGGTTGTTCTGTTCTTTAGTGGCGAACTTCCCAACGGTTTCAGGGTTTAGGGTTTAGGGTTTAGGGTAAATCCCTAGAAGACAGCGCGAATGAGACCCTAAGCCTACATGGGGGTTTACGAACATCGGGGACCCCTAACATAGACCCCCAAATAGTAAAATTCCTCTATAATCAGGGCCACCAACCAAGGTGCCCCCCTCCCCCTAACTTCGGAAACCCCCACATGAGCACCGCTCCAGGTACAGAACTCAGCCCCCTAGTATAATCCCTATTAGAGACTGTTAAAAAAAGGAAAAAAACCAACCCTAAACCTGCATGAGCACAGCACCAGGTACAGAGCTCAGCGCGATCGTGTGTGATCCTTGGCAGCCCGGTGGTACCCTTTACCCTTTTCTTTGTTATGGGTTCCTTAATAAATTAAGCAAGCCAAAAAAAGGTGCCCTTATTATAATATGGTTACTGGGCTACCAAGGATCGCGGTGACTTTGTGCCACAGCTGCTGAATCTCTTGCGCGGCGACGGGCAGGTCCTCCTGCCAATGGGCTTTAGTACGCAGTCTCCACAAGCCTAAGCCCGTCAACCCTTTCCTGAACTCCAAACCCTAAATCCTAAACCCCAAGCCCTAACCCTAAACCTTAAGCCAAAAACCCGAACGCCACCCTCCTAAACCTTCCGAAGCCTGTAAGCCCATGAGTCACGAAATCCGTCATTTTTTCGACGAACCTGTCGCCGGCGCTTCGTACCGCAGCATGTTTTTTTCTAATCAGGTGTCGGCTTGGTTGGGGGTGCAGGGCTTAGAGTTGAGGTTGGGGGAGGGCTTTCGCTTTCCTGATAGAACCGCTTTAGGATGCACCCCTCTGTTCCTAGGTCGGGGTCCTATAGAAACACTAAAACCCTAAACCCTAAGCCGAAACCCAACCTTAGACCCGTTTTCTACTGTTTGCTTAAGACCCCCAAAAAATGAAGAATAACACTCTCCTGATACGGCCCTCATAAGGAAGAGTGTCTTTTGTTTTTTGGGGGCTTCTTATGTAAGCACAGTAGTAGGTTTTACCCTGAAGCCGCCGTTTTCAGGCTTTTCAGGGGGTTCACAGGGCTTACAAGAGCTTTTTAGGCCTCTTGGGGTTTAGAAGATTGAGGGATTTTGCCGGCCTTGCCGGTGTATGCATGTGGGCCTGTAGTGTTTATAGGGTTGTAGGGCTTGAAGGTTCAGATTTTCTAGGCCTTCTAGGGTCTGCTTTGCCATTAGAGGGTCGACTTTACTCTTGGAGTGGCTTCCCTTTTTTCGTAAGAACATCAAGTTCAACCTTTCTATTCCCTGGCTGTTCCGAGAAATATAACACAATGAGCTTCCAAAAAAGACCTAAACCTCCTCCAAACCCCATGTCCCCGCCTCAGGAGGCGCAGGAGACGGAGGAAAACCACCGCTGCGCTCCCGCGTACCTCTACAAGTATGTCGTTTCTTGCTACAATTCATCCAAGAATGTCCAAAAATGGGTTTAGGAGCCTGTGAAATCGCAGGGTTTCCATTGACGCAGACACATCCTATTCCACTCGAGCCATTCCTTGACTGATGGTCCCGAAATGTCCTGAACAGGACCCTGAAGCCCGAACTGCAAAGCCCCAAACCCGGAAGCCCAAACCCCAAACCACGAACCTCAACCCTAACGCCAAGCCCTGAAGCCTAAACCTGAGCCCAAACCCCAAACCCTAAACCCTAAACCCTAAATCCTAAACCCTGAACCCTCAACACCAGGTTCCTCGGTAGCCGTTTCCCCCCCCCCCCTCCCCCCCGCACCCTCCCGCCCTGCCCCCTCCCCTACACCCCCTCCCCCCCCACGCCCTCCCCCCAGCCCCCTCCCCCCGCCCCTCCCCCCGCCCCCTCCCCCCCGCCCCCCCCCCCAAAAAAAAACAGCAGAAAGTGCCCTTGATTTTAATATGGCTACTGGGTTACCAAGTACTAGACTCTAGCCTTTGTTCCTTTTATAAGCCCCTTAAAAGACCCTAAAGCCCTAAGCCCGTTCATTGTAATACACACTAAACCCTAAACCCTCAACCCTAAACCCTAAACCCCAAACCCTAGACGCCCTAAACCCTAGACGCCCTAAACCCTAAACCCTGAACCCTGAACCCTAAACCCTAAACCCTAAACCCTAAACCCTAAACCCAGTAATATGGCTGCTGGGCTTCCAAGGTTCGCCTGCTCTTCATGATCTCCGAGCCCTTGCAGCACCTTCCGGACGCAAGTTCCTTGCGAAACGTAATATGGCTCTCAGGGTTTAGGGTTTAGGGTTTAAGGTTTAGGGTTTAGGGTTTAGGCTTTAAGGGCACACAGCTCCGAAGCCGAAACTTCAACCCCGAAAGCCGAAACTTTAACTAAACCCCCTAAAAGGGAACACACTATGGGTTCAGGGTTTAGGGTTTGGGGTTTGGGGTTTTGGGTTTTGAGTTTGGGGTTTTGGGTTTTGGGGTTTAGGCCCTAAACCCCTCTGAAAACCCCTCAAACGTCTTAAGCCCTAAAACCTCTAAGTCCTAAACCCATGGCCTGTTCCCTTTCAAGCAGGACCCTCGCTTCAGCACCCATCCGGCTTCCAATCCGCACCTGCTCCCGCGCGCCACAGCGGCCGCCGATCGCATTGCGAGCCTGGGGTGCCATCTAAGGGTGAGGGGCTTAGGGTTTGGGGTTTAGGGTTTAGGGGTTTAGGGCTTTAGGCATTTGGGGATTTGGGGATTTAGGGGTTTAGGGGTCCGGGTTTGGGGTCGTTTCGCCTCCGCAAACCCATCCGGCACGCCGCCAGGGTCGGCGGACCCTAAACCCTAAACTCCAAACCCCAAACCCCAAACCCTAAACCCTAAACCCTAAACCCTAAACCCTAAACCCTAAACCCCAAACCCTAAACCCTAAACCCTGTAACAACAGCAAAGGTTCGCCGAGGCGCTGACGGAGGATCGCCTCAAGGAACTGAGACTTAGTAGCCCAGTGGTACCGTTTTCCCTTTTTGTTGGTTCAAGGGGGGTCCCTTATAAAGCAACCAACCCCAAAACAGAGTTTAGGGTGAGGGTTCAGGCTTTAGGCTTTAGGCTTTAGGGTTTAGGGTTTAGGGTTTAGGGTTTAGGGTTTAGGGGGTGCCTTTATTGTAATATGCCTACTGGGCTACCAAGGAGACACCCTTGGCTCAAAGAGGAAGGTGTCGTGGTCGAGCCCGGGCTCGTTGCAGATGTCTCTGAAGACATGGACACCCGGTTGGATTTAGGGTGTAGGGTTTAGGGTTAAGGAACAGTACATAGGATTTTTTTTTGTTTTTTTTTTTTTGGGGGGGGGGTCCTAGCAAAACAGTAGTAAACCCTCAATCCTAAACCCTAAACCCTAAACCCCTAAACCGATAAACCTTCTACACCCTAAACCCTAAACCCTCGACTCCAGTCGGTTCGCAGCTTCACAAATCAGTCAACAGAGGACTGCCTCCGCATGGTTGGCGGGGAAGTCCAGAAGCAGCCGGTGGCAGTCCACCAGATGTGAATAGGGTTTAGGGTTTAGGGTTGAGGGTTGAGGGTTTAAAGTTGAGGGTTTAAGGTTGGGTGATGAGTTTGGGGATTTGGTTTGGGGCTTCGTTTTGTACTAGAGGTGAGGACCTCGGGCAGTGATGGTTCAGGCTCAAAAAAACTTAACGCCGAGATCGGAAAACTCTGATGCTGTATCTCGTGGTTTTCGTATTGGTTATACCGGGTGTCTCTCGGGTTTATGCAACCAATCTCAACTTTCTCTCCCACATCCTAATTCCAGAGCCAAACCCCCAAACATGTTGGAGAAGGTGTCCAGAAACCTGGCATGCGCTCCCCTAAACCCTGAACCCTAAACCCTGAACCCTAAACCCTAAACCCTAAACCCTAAACCCTAAACCCTAAACCCTAAACCCTAAACCCTAAACCCTAAACCCTAAACCCTAAACCCAAATCCCGGGAGCCGCAAGGTGAGATTCGTGGCCTGGGAGTACACGAAGAATGACCAACGCAAGCTCTGCTATCTCTTTGTCTGTCCTGAGGAGCCGGCGCTGAAGAAGGACCGAGTAACTCGTGCAGGGTTAAAAGAAGGACTCAGGTTGGGTGTTTAGGGTTTCGGGGCTTGCATTGGGTGTATTTGGGGTGAATAGGGTGTATGAGGTGTATAAGGGTGTATTTGGGGTGTATAGGGTGTATAGGGTGTATAGGGTGCATAGGGTGTATAGGGGGTATGGGGTATGTATAGGGTGTGTAGGGTGTAGCCCCCCTGAGCTTGGACGCATGCCCACAGACTTTCGGGATGAACTCATCCGTGCCTGCAAGTCCCAGGCAACTTGTGTTTGGGGTGTAGCTACTAGTTGCTTAAGAACCCCAAAAAGAATAAAAGATAATAATCCCTGTATTACCCTTACAAGGAAGAATATTTTTTAAATTTGTCCGGGGTTCTTAAGCAATTAGTAGATAGGGTTTTGCGTTTTGGAAGTTTTGTTGAGGGCTTGGATCTGACACCCTCTGGACCCCAAACCCTAAACCCTAAACCCTAAACCCTGAAGGACGGCTGGCGAAAACCAGACCTCGTTGATGCGGCGGGCTGGATTACGCATCCCCTGCGCCGCTGCAGAAAACCCAGTCCGGGCTCGGGGTTCAGGGTTCAGGGTTTAGGGTTTAGGGTTCAGGGCTTAGGGTTCAGGGTTCAGGGTTTAGGGTTTAGGGTACCCTAACACCCTAAAACCCTAAACCCTAAACCCTAAACAATGCTAAGACCGATTTCCGTGATCAGCCTGAGGCGGCGCTGTTGCTGGCCATGGCCGGAGGAAATGGAGGGGACGCTTGATTTGTCTGGGTTTGCGGTTTTCTTTTTTTGTTTGGGTTTCGGGTTTAGGGTTTTGGGTTTTGGGTTTAGGGTTTAGGGGGGGAGAGATGGGGGGTAGAAAGGGGCCTATGGAAATTCGACATTGGCACGGAAAATTGAACGTAGAGTTTTTCAGGAAGAAGCAGCACAGGTACAAGGGTGAGCTGAAATGTGGAGTCTGGTTGCAGTATTGCAAAACTGTACAGACCGCAACCACAACACATGGCGAGGCAGGTTTAGGGTTTAGGGTTTAGGGTTTAGAGTTTAGGGTTTAGGGTTTAGGGTTTAGGGTTTAGGGTTTAGGGTTTAGGGTTTATAAGGGTTTCGGGCTTAGGGTTTAGACGTAGCGCCCGGTAGGAGAAAGAAGCACTACCATGTTGTCAATTCAATAAAGGGTTCTTCCGTTGTCCCATATCAGATAGACTGAGATCGAATCGAACCCTAAACCCTAAACCCTAAACCCTAAACCCTAAACCCTAAACCCTAAACCCTAAAAACCCTTGTGAGCAGCACAGAAACAACTTAGCAGCTGGGTAAGCAACCTTCAACAGCTTAAGAGGCCGATATACGCCACAATTCAAGGCTTAACCTTTTGTGGAGCAGTGAAAGGACATCACGCCCTAACCCTAAACCATAAACCCTAAGCCTGAGAACAGTGCGACCTAGTTTCTGCAGTTCCTGAACTAGGGCCAAGGGTATTTCCAATATGTACCCCCTCAAATACGCCTTGCTATAGGAACCCCCCACGATAGGTACCTTGGGATGCTCCGCCTTATGCTAAAAGTCCTGAATCGGGATTATATTGGGGGTGGGGGGGGGTTACCATAATCCCTGTTACGGACTGTTAGTATCAGAGACCCCAAAAGTCTCTGAGTCATTCAAGCACGTTCGCGTCTTCGCATCATGTTGCGGGATTCAGGAGGCACCTGAGGCTTTCTTGGGGTTTGCCTGTGGGTTTAGGCTTGAGGGAAGGAATTGTCATTGCGAAGACATGACAGACATAGGGAGCAGAACGCACAGAAAGCTTAACATATGTCCAAAGCATGCGAAGGGTAAAAACAGATGCAGATACCGATGCTTTTCTACCATCATGAAGAATATAGTTACTTAACATACGAAGAGAAACAAAATAGATTAGAAGTATGGACTAGTGACTAGTCAAAAATGGTTTGCGGCCACAGACATACATACATACATATAAAATGTACGTAAATGTATGTGTGTATGTTATATTTTATATATATATATATACATGTATATGTATATGTCCATATTATTATGATTATTATTACTACTACGATTATTATTATAAAAATATTATGGTCACGCGCACCGCGGCGCACCCCTCCCCCCCCCCCCATGATCTCAGCAGTACCCTACACACCACTATTGGGTTCTTCTTAGGAACCCGTAAAAGGGTCTACTTTTGGATTTTCCCCGGATTCTGGGTTGGACCTTTTGGAATTTTCTGCTTTCTTGGGGTTAAGAGGATGATATTCAGGAACACTTTTCCGAGTGTCTAGAAGCTCAACCTTGAATCACAGACCCTTCAACTCAGGATTGGTCCCGTGGACGTCCGCAGCATGTGCTGCGGAGACGTTCCCATCTACAGGCGTATGATCCAAGAAGTTGCCAAGCCGGCTGGGCAATTGCGTGATGAGCTTGGTGCCATGAATGTCACAGACTATCGCTCTTTCGTCTTGAAGGCGCTGGACTATTTTGCTGACTGACAGGACCACAAACCTGTAATACAGGGGCCTGAAGAATTAGAATAGGGTTTTTGGGCGTCTTTTGTAGTATCACTACAAAAGGGGCCATACGGGAATGCCATTATTTAATTATTCCGACCCCGATATTTTCGGAACGTGTGTTGCGGAGATCAGCCTCGGCTCGTAATACATGTGACACCCTTTGCGTCGATGCTTCTGCGTTCGATGCCCAGCTTCATGCGATGCGTGGGAGAAACTGAGTTGTTCTGGGTTTAGGGTTTAGGGTTTAGGGTTTAGGGTTTAGGGTTTAGGGTTTAGGGTTTAGGGTTTAGGGTTTAGGGTTTAGGGTTTAGGGTTTAGGGTTTAGGGTTTCTGATCAAAACCCTACCTGGGACTCTATTTACCTAGAGTTTAGAAGTAACTACCCTTAACTAGTAGGAATAACCCATAGAGCTGTAGGTAAAGTGGGTCCTAGGTATAAGTTCTAAAGTTGACACCCTGAGAGATGGCCCAGAGAGGCCCCAAGGAAAACACCTTGGCCCTGATTCTCAGACCCCAAAGGTCTTACTCAGTCTTAGTAGGGGAATGAGAGAAGTTTGATATGCCATGTAGCCCCTGAAGAAGCGCTTTAGGGGGATGTAAAGTACTGAAAAGTACTTAGCACCCTAAGCCATATATAAGATTAAGAACTAGTAAAACCCTACAACACCAAGCCCTAGTGAGCCGTGTCATCTGATGACAAGGTGACGCGAGGCTCAGTAAAAGTTGAGGGTTTCAGGCTTCGGCCCAAGACTTCAAGCCCAACTACTGTTGGGGCGGGGCATCCCTTTCGGGGTAGTTTGGGGACACCTACCTGTGAGTGTGGAGGGTTTGTGGCTTAGTAGCCCAGTGGTACCCTTAGGCTACCCTTTTCACTTTTTCTGGGTTCAAGGTTTATAAACCAACCAACCCCAAAAAGTGCCCTTGTTGTAATATGGTCGCTGGGCTGCCAAGGTGGGTTTGGGGTGAGGGTTTAGGGTTTTGGGTTAGGGTTTAGGGTTTAAGGTTTAGGGTTTAGGGTTTAGGGTTTAGGGTTTAGGGTTTAGGGTTTAGGGTTTAGGGTTTAGGGTTTAGGGTACGGGGGGACAACCAAGGAAGGAAATCAACTCCCCTAATCGCCCTGAACTTATATTTCCCAGATCGAACCAAGAAACAACCAAGAACACGGATAAGAGCAACCCAGGGGGGAAGGAAAGGGGGAAGGAATCCACACCCTTACCAAACCCTAAGAACCCAGGCACTACTTTTTGAACTTGTGGCTTTCTGTTCAAGCCCATCTTGAGCCAAATACGATTACCGGGTTCATTAACCCTTCCAACTTCCAACACTAACTCCTTTCTACAATACCAATTGCAGCTCCGCACTCCCCCTGTCCTAGGATTTCCTAGGACACATTGGAGATGCAGATCTTTTGGCCAAAAACTGCCATTACGGCAGCAGCCAGCTGCTTGAAATGCAAATTGTGGTTTAACGTCTTCCAGGACGGAATTATAGCACATTGGCTAACCTACTACCCATAGAGAATCTTTTTTCACCTTGATCCTCTCATCACTGAAGACTCCTTGGCCTTCTTCACCACAAACCGTGGTCTTCGCTACGCGAAAAGCTACTGACTCCTACTATCAGGGATTTCCATACCCTTAATAGTAACCACCACATTGTCAGCACATTGGCTGTTCCAGCGCACCGGTCTCCAGAAAGAGAAAAACCATCCCTTCATCCATACCATCCAATCACTTCTTTTTCCGATTGTTGGCAATCTTGAGGTGAAGTTGCAGCAGAATATACTCCAGGTCCGAAATCGTAAGAATAGGATCCTGTATGCCCCTTTGAATTGAGGATACCAATCCTTCTCTCTTTGCGTCCTCAATCGCCTGGCAAGATTGACCCAGCTCTTCATTCGCATTGGCAGACCCTGGTGCCTCCGCATCGGATGGACGATCCTTTTCCTCAGGATCTTGCACCATTACCACCTCTTCTTTTTTGGGACTCTGACTTTTCTCCTTCTTCTTTGTCTTTCCACCGACATTTGACTTTGTGCGCGTCTTCGAGGATTTTTCCACTGCAGAAGCCACCACATTGGATGTTGATCCACCCTTCTCAATGATCGTCGGCATCTTCTTCGGCTTTGGAACCATGAGAGTGTAAGGATCTTCGATAGCTGCAGCTTTCCTCTTCTTTTTTACCTTTTTCTTCTCCTCCTCAACGGCAACCTCCGTCTCCGAAGTCTCAACCACTTCTTTTTCGGCAGGAATATCTTTGCTGGACTCCCCTTCTAGGGACCTCTTTTTCCCTTTTTTGGGATCCTTTTCTTCTCCCAAATTGGCTCGCTCATACCATATCCTCAGGTCATTGACCCATTCTTCCACCTCCGCGAGCGAAACATCATACGACTTCACTACTTCGAGAAGTTCCAGCACTGACAACATTTCAGTGGTCCACGAAACCCATACTTGATCCATTTGGTCAGCATCTCCAGTGAACTTCAGGAGTTTGAACAATGGGTCCGCCTCTGCTCGAGCCAAATCTGGCTTGCCACCGGAGAGAAATGAAATCGCCTCCATCAACAGTTCCGTCATCTTGGTCTCTTCGTCATAAACCATAAAATCCTCCTCATCATCATCGAACTGTTCAGGAGGGATCTCCTTTTCTCCACCATTTGCACCAGACTTTCTCCTTGGACCATCCCTTGGGGGCGTCCTTGGAGACCTTGGCCTCTGTTTTTCCAACGGAACACCATGCTCGAAGACACACCTGTCACCAAATCGACACTTCCCAGACCGAGCAAACTGGACGCACCTCACACCAGTTGCATCATGCGAGAACCCACAATCCTTTCCAGCGAAACATTCTCTCCCTGCCACATAGTATTTGCACCAATATGAATGTAGCACCACATCATCTTCGGAATGGATGAATTTGCAGTCGTCACCAAATTTGCAGCGATCTTTCCCTTTGCCAAACCAATAGCAGAAACCCTTCTTCCTCTTCTCCAAGCGCTCTGCCTCATACCGGTCCATAGGGCGATTGTGCTCTACATGAACATTGCCATGTACCTGGGGACTGCTCCCTTCACCCGACGTGCTATCAGTATTTGGTGCTTGGAGTACAGCTGGAAAACCTGGCCTTGGTCCTACCACCTTCATGATCGGTTTTCCGCCAACTCCTGAGCCATGCTGAGACGATCCAAAAACATTGAACATCTTCGTGAAGGCCTTCCTAGCGCCAATCTTCTGCACCCTTTTGATTGGACGTTTCATTGCTCCAACCTTGCATCCAGATGCATTCAAACGACGCAACCTTCTAAACCCAACTCTATGTCCCTTCTTCCAAAGAGCCATAAGAATTTTAGAGGCAGTGACATTCTCCACCTCTACCTTTTCCAATGATCCCTCACTTCCCGGAACAAACCCATCCATCTCTGAAGACCTTTCCATCTTTTTTGACACCACTTCGTCAAGGTAGTCTTCTGAAATCCAGGGAAAGTTCCCCTTAGAGGAAGGATTGTCATCATTGTTTGGTCCTTCACCAGGATATCCTTTGGTGCTGTCAAAGATCTTACCAGTAGTGCGGTCCTGCATAGAGAAATTCGAAGCCACGCGGGAGTACACTGACCACAAGAAAATCCTTGTGTCCGCCAGTCTGGATGACCCACTGGATTTCTCCTCTTCCGGAGAAACTTCTGGCGCTTTGCCCTTCCCTCCAGTGTCACCGCTTGTCTCACCTCCAGCATCTTCAATGGGAATAAGGGATTCATTGTTCCCTTGATCAAGCACCGCATCCTCTAGTCCAAGAACTTCCAGCATCGCTGTCGAAGGATCCACCTCCTCATCCGCATCGTCGTCCATCCTTCTCCAGAGAGCCTCCAATTGGTCCGCACAAGTCGCCGCTTGAAGAAACTCCATCAACCGAGCCCTCCCGCGCTGCCAGAGAAATTCTGAAACCATCACCGACCCTTGTGCTCCCAGATTCAGGAATGGGTGAACCATTTTGGCTACCCTCGCCATAAGTTCAATATGAACTTCCATGCCTGGACTGCGGCTCCAATCATAGGCAATTGCCTCCATAGCAGTACCAAACTTGTCCGTATTCTTGAATTCCCCTTCCAGACCAGGAGACAACAAGGTACCCATCACCGAAAGAGGGTAATTCCCCACCGCCGGCAAGCACGGGTTGTCATGGAACGAATGATGCAGGTCAGTGTAATGTCCTTGATCTCTCCTTTGAAAAAGGAGTGTTCCAGTCCCTAGCTGGGCATTCATTTCATCCACTTGAACCATTTCAGCACATATCCTCTGCGCCAGGTGCGCCATTGCTGGCCAGACGGTACGATCTGTCAGACCGCGACGCATAACCCAATCAGTTGTTGGCGACTGGATCAGCGTTCCTGGATCATACACCATAACCATTGCACCGTCTCCCATTGACTGATCAGCATCGTCCTCCAGTGCCAGGTTCTCATCCTGTTCGCTTGCACCCTCGGATGACATGCTAATAACCAAATTTCGATCCATCTTATTGGACCCTTTTTGGCAATCTCTTTGCCCCATTGGCAACTTGCCAACTGCAACCTTCCAATAAATTCGAGTCAGAAGGCCTTTCACCAGCAATTGCTGAAGGTCACTCCTCACCGGACCACCATCCAACATCTTCGCATCATTACCACGGAGATCATTGCTCCCGCCTTCTCCTTCTTTTTGGTCGGTCTCCTCGCCAGAAATCTGTACTGCTCCTTCCGGCGCCGTCTCCTGTCCAGCCACTTCATGCCCAGGAAGAACTTGAGCGCTTTCAGAGACATTCACCTGTCCAGCAGCACCTTGCCCAGGTAAAACCTCATCCGTGGAGCCCACCGCCAGCGAACCAACCATAACTGAACCATCCCTTGTTCTTTTTTGAGACCGTTCAGCTCGACGAGAAGGTTGTGGTAGCGAAAAAACTTGAGAAGTCACTTCTTGGCGGGTCTCCCCCCGCGACGCTTTGTC